TTGTGGTTGCTTTTCGAGATATACTCATATTATCAAATCGCACATCGTTAAAACAACAATTACGATATTATCGCAGACCATACATATAGCACACCCCTATGTTTAGATTAGATCTTCTTATCAATCCACCAGTTCACATTTAAAGCTCTGCGTGTTTGCAGGGTAAAAACATGGGTGGATTTTCGCATTGGTCTGAACTCTGAACAAAACAACAGTTTTATTGAAAATGCTCATTCATTCTCTGCCAGCAGGTGGAGCGTTTGGTAGAAATATAACTGTTTCCCCGGTAACAGCAGAACACAGAGCAGCAGCACCGGACTTTGAACCTGCAGCGCTCCTGTTTATTTAATGAAATCATAGCCTTTTGAAGTTTAATCGTCACATTCAGCCATATCGCAATTCTGGTCTTTCCGTATCCAAATTTAAGACCTCTTGAAATTATAATTAAGACTTTCTTGTACAATTTAAGACTTTTTAAGGCCTTAAGTTTGATACAACTAAATGTGTGTGGTGGTAAATTAGGCCTTTGTAAGGCAGTTTTTACTGGAGCTCTTTGATTTGATCAATGTTTCTTTACTCACTTCTCTCTCAGCTTCTGCATTTCTCGTTTCATATCAGCATCCTCAAACTCAGAGTCGTTATCACTGCTGACGTAAGCGGAGTGGGCGGGGCCGCTAACCGAGGGGGCGTGTCCGTTCACCAGAGGACAAGGGGGCGAATCGGAGCTTTGGACACTGCTGCTGTGACCCGAGCGCCGGAGGAAAGCCACCGCCCGCTTCATGAAGTCCCCGCCGCCTGACTCTGACGGGGCAGGAGCCAGAGACAAGGGCTTAGCAGACAGAGTCTCGCTCTGATCCTCCTCTCCGGTGTCCGAGGACAAGCACTGCGCCGTCCCGTCCACTGACAGCGAGCTCTGAGCGCAAGGCATTGTGGGTCTGGCATCTGGAAAGGAAGTAGTTGTGTCCTGAAAAAAAACGGATGTAAATGACAATGTCAGACTCCCGAACAAAAGAACAAAATGTATGCAAATACCTAAAAATAAACCAAAAATAAATGAAATAGATAAATAAATAAAACATTTTAACTGATGGATTCTGTGTTTAGAATGTAATACTGTACAGTATACTGCCTACTACAGCATGTGAAACAGTAACATTTCAAAAAGTATTGCGCTACATTGCTGTCACACGACTTTATCATGTTGCATGTTCAATCTAGTGAGTGGCATCCTATTAATTGACTTATTTTGCATTTACTATCCAATTTTGGGTACAAATGTCTAAACTTCTGACAGTCTGATCAAGTAATGAGTAAAGAAAAGGAGATGTTGAATCCAGAATGCCATTACTCTCATGTCACACTGAAAGGTCTAGTCTAGATTACACATTTTGACAAAAACATATGTAGTAGAGATGCACCAAATGTTCGGCAACCAAAATGATTCGTCTGAATAAGCAAAAAGACTGAATAAATTGTACCGAACAATGATATTTTTGGTGATGCGATCAAATAGCACTCAGCGTAGAGTGAGAGGCGCGCACTCTTTATAATGCAAAACATGTCGGCAGCGTGGAAGCATTTAAAACTGTCCGAGAAAGACGCAAAAATCATTACAAGCACTGACAGCGAGAGACTGTTTAGCACTGCATCGCATGTCTCTGTTGAGAAGTGGAAGGGGTGGTTGTTTCTGGTTACTGTATGATGATTGAAATGACGAAATGGCCTCAAACGATTAGTAAATAAACTGCAGAGCGCTGCACAAGCTCGTTAGCCAGGGTTCAAAGTCCAAAGGAGGAAAATCTGCACTAAAACAGTGTTACTCGTCAGTTGCTCAGTAACATTTTTATGAATTTTTACAAGGCATGGATGTGACAATGTGATACGTGCGACAAACATCTTCCCAAATTCGTAATGAGAATCATTTATAAATCCATTGTTGTACAAATAGAAGCACTGAGGTCTTCCTGCGGGTTTCCACCAAAAGCTAGAAAAAAAAGCAAGAACTCCATCACAATTTATAAATGTTAGTATTGTAATTCTACTGTTGTTCTGTAAAGAAAAAGAAAAAAGACAATAATAATAATAATGATATTAATAATTACAACAACTCTGTTAATGCATTTATTATAACATTCACACAATGTTCAAATTGGGATCTGTCATATTTTCTATATTTATGTCATATTTTGCCTGTTTTGACTATGTTTAAGAATAAAGCTTTGCAGATGGATCCGCACGTCTCTCTTCTCGTTCGCCCCGTTACAATAATGTTTGCTAGAATGTTAAAAAATGTTCAGTGTTAAATAAATATTTTTAAATTGTTGTTCTGTCATTACTGTTTTTTCTTGCTTTTCAAAAGAAAACTCATAGCACATTTTGGCTATTTAATTTATGTAATGGTGGAAAAAATGGGCAAAATACATATAGGGAAAAAAAAACACGAAAACCCGTGTTCGGTGCATCCCTAATATGCAGGTTATATTGGTGTTACTGTGTACATTATACTGTAGATCTTGTGCAAACAGTATGAGTAGTATGCCAGTATGCCATTTCAGACGTACGCTGCGCTTCAGACAAACCTGATATAAGTCAGGAGGTGCTGAGTAACGGTTTCTTTGTGACTTTGATGTGGATCTGTGTCCGTTCTCAGTTACAGGAACAGCTGCAGATTCAAGATCAATCACATGATCTCCACCATCGTGAGAAGACACATCTGAATCTGTTGGCACAATCTGCAGTGCACAAACACAGAACGCTGTCAAACTGTGACCAGTCATTCCAGAGAAGCATATATATAACTCGTAAACAAACAAACAAACAAACGAAAAAAGTCACTGATAACCTGGAAGTGGCTCTTGGATGTGTGTGTAGCAGAAGTGGCCCCGGAGTCTTTTCTGGTCAGAAGTCTTTTGAAGGCTGATCGACATTTGGGGAAAAAAAGAAAGAAAAGCACAAAAATAACAGTTGTCAATTGTGACAATTTCTTGTAGTCTGCAGTACGTCTACATATCTAGAGTGTAGAGCTGTTTTTCCACCGTCGAGCCGAACCATTCGCGTTGCCTAACCGTTCCATTCCATGTTGAATTACAGGCCCAGAACGGTTCCCAATCATGGAAACATAACTGGAACCATTCACTACCATTTTTATAACCATTCGGTACACGGGGAAGAGCAGCTGAGATTAGCACATTCACACACACACACACACTTTCACTTACGGGCGACAGCAGAATCACTCAAGGTCCCGAGACTGTCGGTCCTCTCTGGAATCTGCGGCTACAAAAAAAAAATAAAATAAATCCTGAGAAATACGGTATAACAAAATTATTTCCTACAGAATTAACATGGACAAACTCTTTTCAGAAAATAACAGGACTGATGGTAACCAGTTGACAGCTGTACAGTTTACTTGGCCATTTCTACTCTTCTGGTGCTTGTAAACAGGACAATACTTACACAAATATCCGGTTTTCAACAATCAATTGTTTACTACAGAAAATCATGGGTAACATGGTTCACAATTTGACACAATTTACTTGTATTCATGGAATAACAGGATTGATGTACAAATCTTCTCATATTTCTCCTGTTTTATGCAGACTAAATTGGCTACTTGTTCGTTTCCGTATTCAATACAAAATACTTCTCATTACATTCAAAACTCTCCATGGTCTTGCCCCTTAATATATCTCAGATCTCATACACACCTACATCCCTTCCCGTGCACTTAGGTCCTCTGAATCTGGCCTATTACCAGTTCCTCGGCAAAAACTAGTTTTTGGGAATGTTGCAAATGATTGTAAAGCGTCCTTGAGTTTGTAGAAATGCACTATATAAAATAAACATTATTATTATTATTAATATTATTATGTAACCTCAGGTCTGGGGTTGATGGCCAAAACTGGTTATTATTCAGAACTGGTTCCATTAAAAAGACAAAAGATTTCTTCTGAATTTCATATGAAATCTTCCGCAATGTTGATTCCACTATTTGATGGTGCTATGCCACTACTGAATCTGTCACACCGTGGCAAGTGTTTTTTCTGAACTGAGAGTTTTCAGTCTAACTTTAATGAGATGATGTGAGAAAAAGAGTAGGCTAAAGACAATAAGAAGATAACACATCTTTTGCTCTTTCCCCGCTAGTTGCACACAGTAAACACACCATACATGTGACCAGTGTGGCCAGATTCATAAACGAGTTAATCGTGATCTATGAATGAACTGCTTTCAGGAGCCTGTTCTTTTGATAGTTTCTGAGACTAAAAATGCATTACCAAAAAAAAACAAAGATTTAACAAAACAACCTCCCTTACGAAAATGAACCATGGTTTTATTGTAGTAAAAGCGTAGTAACCATGTTTTTGTTTTGGTATATTGATTCCCATTTGTATAACCACAGTTTTACTACAAATACTATGGTTAAACTATGGTTAGTGTAGCAAAACCATGGTTAATTTGTGGTTACCATGGTTAAACTCAGGGGTGTCCAAACTTTTTTTTTTAAGGGGGCCAGATTTGACAATGTGGACACACCAGGGAGCCGGATGCTTCTCCCTATAATATATAATAGCAATATCACACGAGTAGACGTGAGATTTGGCTGTATATCGGCACGGCTGTGATTCGGCCGTAGGTAATCTCAGAGTGCCAATATACAGCCATATCTCACGTCTACTTGTGTGATATTGCGTTTATACAACAGTTCGACGGCACGAGCGTTTAAATATATAAAATAACAACGGAGTGTCTTTTAAATCCCTCTTTTGTGCAGAACTACTTCCTTCCACCACGGATTCAAATCTAAAGTTGACAGTTTAACAGCTGAAGCTTCTGCTACGAATTCCAAAACGTCACTTTAGAACTAGTAACAAAGGAACGTTGAGTTACAGAAATGAACTGATGGCGCGGAAGCTCATTCATGAGATTTGAATTCTCCGCTGTAAGGCAACCTCATGCATAATACAGCACAGTGATTGGATCATAAGACTTCATTCTCATGAATACTGAGAAAAGCCTGGAAAACCGATGATGCAGATGTGCACTCTCCAGCCACGGCAGCCAATCACCACTCCAAATTAACGCATATACGTCACTTTTCTTGATGTTGGTTCAACTTTACTTTTTGAACCGGAAGAACGAAATTGCTCCAGAAAATGAAAATATAACCACTTTTGCTTTAATTATAGACATAATGAGTGCTGTTGTTGTTTTCAGTGATGTGCAACCTGTTCATATATGTTAACATCTCAAAAAATGTGTTTTAGGGTTTCAAGACACTTTAAAAGCTTATTGTACTACTGTAGTAAAAGCAGTGCATTATGTATAGTAGAGTATTATGAGAGATAGATGGCGAGTGTGATTTTCTGCATCTGATACAGCATTCATTCTTCAGATCAATCTCATATTCACAATAAAATATTAGTTTGAATGTCCGATAGGCTCGTACTATCCTTTCATCTGTTAAGGGTGATTTCTGATAACAGCGCTGCTCGGTGCATTTGTTGGCTGCATACAAAGCTTTTTGAAAGAAAAAATAACTTTCTTGTTCAAAACTGTGCTTTAGTATTTTTCAGTTTAAAAGTCTTTACTGCTGACTCGTAAAACAGTCTAGTCACCATCTAATGGTGGAACAATGTAATTAAAATCACCATCACGAACACACACACACACACACAATTTCCTAATACTAAATACTACGATTATTATTTATTGAATAATAATAATATTTAATAAACAACAACAGCCATCATAAAAAATGCTAGTCAATTCAGTCAAAAGTACAAAGGCATCGCTCAGATATACAGCATTGAAGTTACATAAATGGTGAGATTTTGTCAAAACTATTTGCTCTGGAACAAATAACAGATTAATGAGACCAAAGTCTTCCCGTTAGATTTACCCAAAACGGAATATATCTCATGTTTATCCACTATAGAGATACCAGAGCCAATGGTAAATTCCTGAAGTTCTGGCCGAGGTGAGGCGCTCTCTCTGTGGGTTTATGAGCGCTGAATGCCTGCTGATGTCCTGGAGCTCACGTCTCCGAAAACATCAAAGCAAATTTTTTGCTGTGAGAAATAAGGCAAGCGGAGTGACACAAACTGTGAAGCGGTTGGAGAAGCTCTGATATCACTCTAATATCGCACTCTTATCAGCCAATCAGATTCAAGGACCAGAAAGAACTGTTGTATAAATATATATGTATATACAGTAGTCAACATTTGAAGTGGATCAAAAAAGTTAATCAAAGTTGTCCTAAGACAATAACTGGTATTGTTTTGGTTTTAGGACAACTTTGATTAAAGGTTTTGATCCACTTCAAATGATGACTACTGTATATATGCATGTATGTATGTATTTATATATATAAATAAATAAATATATGAAGTGTAACAGTGTAACTGCTCTGGGAATCGTATTTGTTTAAATAAAGACAGTAAAGTAATGAAGATGGAGAATAGGAGCTCTGTGCTGGTTCCCAACATTCAAATATCTCCATTTGTGTTCCACAGAAGAAAGAAAGAAAATCATACAAGTTTGGAACAACATGAGGCCTAATGATCATTTAATAGTGTTCATCGTCTGTTTGATTACGTCTTTAATTGATTTTTCCATACATTTCTGCCACATGTACATTGACTGACAGTCACCACTGATAAGCTACCACTAAATATTGTAGAAACTTAATTTGCTGTAAAGTTGCTTTGCAATGATTTGTATCGTGAAAAGCGCTGTACAAATAAACTTGAATTGAATTGAATTGTTTGTAGTGCCTTGCGAAAGTATTCAAATGTTGGTGATTTGTGAATTAAAATTTATTATAACTGAATGTTGTCACACAATGTTTCTCCTGTTTTCTGTGTCAGTGTTGTTGAGAATGGCAGCGCTGTTTCATCTGCCTTTAAACTAGTTTAAATCATCGCGGCATCTGTGGTTTGTAATGGAGAGCTCACGGAATCTCACAGCGCTGTTCAGTGGTCGTGTGACCAGAGTAAACGCATTTATTCTGAGCTCACTCAGACCAGTAGCGCTCTTGCACTTTTGCACTCGTGCAGCGCATACGAGTTATAAAATTGTTGTCACTCGCGTTTTACTGCTAAATCTAACCTAAAATGTAGTGCTGTCACCTTGTGTTGACATTTTGAAACTGCATATTTTGTAAATTATGCTTGGCGGGCCACATATAGGCTAATACATTTTAATAGACAAGCTGTGGGCCGTTTGAAATTCATTCACGGGCCGCATTTGGCCCGCGGGCCGTACTTTTGACACCCCTAGTTTAACTATAGTAACCATGTTTTTTTGGTTTTATTGGTAGTAAAACCATGGTTAATTTTCATAAGGGCTGACAGCTCATATTGTTTGTAAACACAAACAATACTTCTTAGCCATCTTCAAGAATCGGCTAAAAACACATATCTTCCATCTTTATTTAACCCTCTAACTCTAGCACTCTCCATTCTAATTCTTTTCTTTAAAAAAGGCTCTAACACTAGCTTGCACTATTCTTTTTCTATTCTATCAGTTTTCTTTTTATTTATTATTTAATAAAAAAAACCTTGCTACGTGTACTGCATTAAGCTAACTGAGACTTGTCATAGCACTTGCATATCATTGCTCTTTTGTTGATTTTGATTGCTTCTATTTTCCTCATTTGTAAGTCGCTTTGGATAAAAGTGTCTGCTAAATGAATAAATGTAATGTAAATGAATACGATGAGGATTGACTTTACCAGTTTTTCTGCTTTCCTCACAGCAGCGTCACTGCCCTGGCTGTCGGACAACGGTGGTGATCCGGGCGGTTCGGAGGCGGAGCACGTGGTTTGCGAGGGGTGGTACTCTTGGTACAAAAGGTTTCTCAGTTTCTCATCCAGAGTCTTTATCGTTCTGTCTGCGAACTCCAGCCTGGGCGGCCCTTCCCCGTCCGATTCGCCCGGCTGCAGGGGCGGGACATTCTGGGGCTGGTGGGCGGGGCTCTGGGGCTGATGGGTGGAGCTCTGAGGCTGATGGGTGGGGCTCTGGGGCTGATGGGTGGAGCTCTGGGGCTGATGGGTGGGGCTCTGAGGCTGTGATTGGCCGCTGCTGACCAAAGCCTGTGGAGCGGGCGTGGAAAAGGGCTGAAGCAGCACCACGGGCGGGGTCTGGGTCTGGCTGACGGGCGGCTCCACGCCGTGGCTGCTGCTGCAAGCGACCGGCTGCTGAGGGACCTCCGCCGCTTTCTGAGCAGAGACGTCCAGTGAAACGGGAGGCACAATGGGGCAGCATGGGATGTCAGGAACCACAGCTGCGCAGGCAGCCTGAGGGCCCACGGCCGACGGAGCAACCTCAGAGAGGGACGCCTGTGGCACCGATGGCCGTTTCTGCAGAGGTTTGGCTCTGGCTGTGCTCACATCCTGCGTTTGAAATGTAGAGGAGCTCTCTGGGTCTGGAGAGGCACAGGTAATAGTGTGAGATGATCATTTGTAAGCATGTTTAGTAGGGATGTAATGATATTATCAACATTGTGGTATCGCAATAGCAAAACTGTCTCAATATTATTGTGGTCACATGACAATATGAAAAGATAGGTCTTCCAGGCAAAAATTATAATTTATCAAATATATTTAAACTTCTTATTCTAACATAGAAGGTCTTTAAAGTTGTGTTTTGGGCCATTATGCTTTAGCACAGTATCTGTCAAGCTAACTCAAACGGAAAGCACAATATGCTTAATCCCTTCATCAAGTCTGTTTTTGCTGTTTCAAAGAGAAGCACACACATTGTTCAGGTGATCAGCTTGTGATCGTGTGTTTTCTGCACCTCAGAACGGCTCTGTTCACACTGAATGAATGCAGTGAACTCGTTTATTGCACGTGCTGTGAGTTTAGCGCGCTTTTGGGAACGCAACAGCCACCAGTTAGGCTTTATTTTTACATTCGTATAATTCCCAACATTTTAATGGGCAGATGATTACAGCATTTCACTATTTGTAGTGAGACGCATTTTTGTAAGCCAAATTTTGTACGTTTTTACTGAAGCTGGAGTTTTCCACCAAAATAAAAGCTCTACTGCCGTTTCCATCAAACTAAAAGCTGTCTAAAATAAAAGTGCAGTATGAATTAATGACAGCTAGCGGTTTAAATGGGTAACATTACTCCACTCCAAATTCAAAATATCTCTTTTCAAGTGCAGAAATTAGGAAAGAAGTATTGCAATTTCTCTACTGTAGTGTAAAGCAAAAATAACATACCTATGAAATATTCATTTGAATTTTTTTTTTACAGTGCAATTGTTTTACAATATATAAGTCTTCTTAGGAACATGGGTTGGAGCTCTTAATTTTGAACTTTCACAGGGCATTAAATAGAAGAATTTAACTAAAATGTACAAAATGTTCATTTTTTTCCAAGTTTTCATTTGTCTGTTTTTTTTAAATATCGCAATAAATATCGTATCGTGAACTTCATATCGACATATTATCGTATCGTGAGATTTTGATGACGTTAAAAGCCTAATGTTTAGCATTAGTTCAAGTGTGCTGAATTACTCGCGGCGGCCTCTTCTCCATTAGGCGCGGCCCTCTCCGCCACAGGACAGATGATGAACCAGCGTTTTCCAGTGTGAAGCACTGCAAGTCAAGGCAAACTGTGAGTTAATGCTCATTCTACAGCAGTTACAGTGAGATCTGTTGGACATGATGTGTCAGAGTCTTACCGTTTTGTTTATAGACGAGCTGGTCAGACTGCGTGCGCTCCGGTTTTGACCCCTGAGTACAGAAGACAACAAATTCAGTTTGTTTGGTGATGCTAGAGGCACAGAAATGACACCCTTCACATTTACATTTACACAGTAGGGTACAACAGAGCTAAAGATACAGCAGGGTTTGATTTCATTTTCCTCTTAACCACTAGATGGCACAAAACTCACCGCAGCACTTTCCTAAACATTCATGTTTCAATATATGCAAGGAAATGTGGCTCATTCGTGACACAACACAAAGCAACATAAAGTTGATTCTGCATTTATTTGATTTAATATTTCATACGTTTTAAAGGGGACATCAGATGCCCATTTTCCACAAGTTGGTATGATTCTTTAGGGTCTTAATGAAAAGTCTAATTTGGTAATTTGGAAACATAATTTGGTTAAAATTTCTCAATGGTAGTGTAAAACAACACCCTTTTTACCCTGTCAAAAACAGCTTTGTTCACAGCGACCCGTTTTGTTACATGTTGCTTTAAATGCTAATGAGCTCTGCTTGCCCTGTCCCTCTCTTCCGAGCCACTCTCTGAGAGACTGCTTACTTTAGCCGCATTCATCGTGAAACTTGCTAATTAGCACGTTATTAGGAAAGGCGATTTGCAAATACTTATACTCGCTCCTTCTGGAGGTGAAGCTGGATCACGAATGATTCGCGCAACCATAGACGCATTTAGGTAGATCGGAGGCACATTCCCTTCAAAAACAAATGTAGTCCACTGCGTCTTCAGCGGCTCAGATGTCGGGAGTAAATTATGACTGCTATGTTCATTATTACATCCAACAACAGAACACTTCGATCGCTTAGGAGCCATTCTTGTCTACATCTGCTCCGGCAGTGAAACAATGGAGGACTGTTTACAGCTCACTCAGGGCGGGTCTAAGGTAAAACCTCACCCTCCCGGTTATCTGCTATGGTTTCATCTTCGCTTCCTCCCCCTAAACAGTTATCATCTCTTGATGCTAACAGTGCTACTGATACTTTCTGCTCCACTCTTACATCTTGTTTAGACACTGTCTGCCCCTTGTCTTCCAGGCCAGGCCATACCACCCCTTCTGCCCCTTGGCTGTCTGATGTTCTCTGCGAACATCGTTCTAAGCTCAGGGCTGCTGAAAGGGTGTGGCGCAAATCAAAAAATACTACTGAGTATTAAAATAAATACTTCATTTATATCAGTCACTCCTCTCTTCCTTCTCTGCTAATGTCTCCACTGCTAAAAGGACATACTATCATAACAAAATTAACAATTCGTCTAACTCTCGCAGCAAGATTTATTTTTAACGAGCCGAAAAGAATGCACGTCACACCTCTGTTTATCAATTTGCACTGGCTACCAGTAGCTGCTCACATAAAATTCAAGGCATTAATGTTTGCCTACAAAACCACCACTGGCTCTGCACCCCTTTACCTAAATTCATTACTTCAGACTTATGCGCCCTCGAGAAGCTTGCATTCTGCAAGTGAACGTCGCTTTATTGTGCCATCCCAAAGAGGCACAAAATCACTTTCACAGACTTTTAAATTAATTGTTCTGTGGCGCGTATCAGCGAGGGCACATCCGAGGGCAGATCAGCGTCGCCCTGAAAACGCCGCTCCTTCACTAATCACCAACGGCGAACACCTGAGCGTGATGGCCAGCGCACCTGGAGCTCATTCAGGACAGCTTTAAAAGCCAGGAGGAAAACCATGTCAGTTGAGTTGCATACTCCCTGGATGAGAGACTAATGTGTGTTTTTGTGCCACTTTTACAGAGACAGACTGAATCCCTGGCCACTCGCTGCGCTTCACAGATGACCACAGACACTATCACCATTGGGAACCAGAGCACCTTCACAAAACACTGTATTATAATTTCTCTGCTTAAATAAATCACCCTCCAGGGGTTTTGCTGTTAAACTCCATCTACTGTGTCCGTGCTCTCATTCACCCCGCTACAGTTCCCTCCTGGTGGAATGACCTGCCCAACTCCGTCCGAGCAGCTGAGTCCTTAGCCATCTTCAAGAATCAGCTAAAAACGCATCTCTTCCGTCTTTATTTGACCCTCTAACTCTAGCACTCTCTATTCTAATTTTATTCTTTATAAAAAAAATAATAAAACTTGCCCCTTTTAGACTTGCACTCTATTTATTTACTAACTGCTTGTTTTCTTTAAAAAAAA